GAGAACTGTTAGACATTATTATCATGAAAATCAAGGTCATAAAAAGAAGGAAATTAAATGCTTTTTCCGCATTGAATTTAAAGTCATTAAGTATCACAAAGAAGAATTTAAATATCTATGTTTTAGATTAAACCCATATATGATACCCTACACCACTATGCATATTTAGTAGGGCCACCGTAACAAAATAATTTATTTGAGGTAGATCATACCACATATCATTCTTTGACTTTAGAGCAGTTATAATTTGGTTTCAAAGGGAACTACTCTCTGGCAGGCAAATCTAATTCTGAACCAATGTTCACCAAATTTGACGGAGACATTTTTATCTTTTATACCAAAAAATATGAAGTGCATGATATCATTTCGGGAAGGATTATATTAAAACACATATATCTGAACCGAATTCCACCAAATGAAAACGTACGTCCCAAAATTTACTCCATTTGGGCTGATATTAGCCATTTTTTGCACAATGGGAGACATATCCAAATCTGAGCCGATTTCGATTAAATTTGGCAAAGGTATTTCTGAGCTCTATAAGATATCTGGTACCAAATATCATTGTTGTGGAGTGCATATTACCATGAAAGGGACTTCAACACCAAATCGAATGAAACATACAGGGTGAGATAAAAAAAACTGCAACAAAGTCAAACGCCATAATTGTTACTTTTTCTTTAAATTTTTTTTTGAATGAAAGCAAAAAATGTCGGAAATAGCATCAAATTTTAGAATAAGTGTAGATTTTTTTTCAAATTGGTCACCTTTGGCACGAATTATGGCATTCAAACGGCCAATGAGACTCCAGATACAATAGTCCAACGGATTGGTATTCAGAGATTTTGGTGGACATTGTGGGCTGGAAATGAAGCGAGGAATCTCATTTTGTAACCATTTTTGTTTGGCGCGTACTGAGTGCGATGGTGCTGTCCTGTTGGAATGTCCACGGTCTGCGTTGAAAATCTCTACATACCCAATGCTTTAATACACCCTCCAGAATTTTTTCGCGATAATATTCGTCATTTATTCTGATGCCACGGTCGATTAATACGAGCGGAGAGCGACAATCGGCTGTTTTGCCGGCCCACACCATCACCATGGCCGGCGCTTGAGTTCTGGTGGCCAATCGAAGGTGCACATTTTCAGCAGACCTCTTTGCAAGTAAACACGATAATTTTGTTTGTTTACAAACTGCTGGACAACGAAGGTTTTCTCATCGGAGAAAACAAAATTCGGCAGTTTATCTCTTCCGGCCAAGCGAAGTAACTCTTTAGCTCTTTTGAGTCTATTTTCTTTCTGTTGCGGTGTAAGATCTTGCACTTTTTGGAATTTCAATGGCTTTTTCCCGAGTATTGCGGTACGTTCAGCTCATGAGTCATTTTTCGGCCACTGCGGGTTTCGATCAAGTCGCTTCTTTACTTTTCGAACCATTTCTGCTGATATTGCTGTTTTCTTCCGTCCACTTCCTTTACGGCGGGCTACGCTACCAGTATTACGGTAACGAGCGATGGTACGAGACACAAAAGATTTATTCACATTTAAATGCTGGAGTGCTCCAACGATAGCCACTTGTGGATGGTTGCAGTTTTTGTATCTCACCCTATCCATTCTACAAAAGTTAGATTATGGTATTCATTCGAAAGGAGTTATCAGTTAAAAAAAAAAAAATATTTTAAAGTGTTGAGCATTATCTTCAGCATTTCTGCAGATTCATATTTCAATTCCAAATGTATTAATGTCTTAAATTCCGATGCCTATCCGCCATAATTCATTTAAAAACCTAAGCCGATTTAATCTTTATGGCATTTGTCATAATAAAAATTACTAATTGAATATCTCATGCGATTTTAATCTCTTGAGAGACGGAGCGAACGCCACCCGAGAACCAGCCATACCACCAGATGTTCGCAATAACCTGTCACTGTTCATTACAATCGCTTCGTGTTGGTTTTCACCATGGCCCTTGTGGACTCGTTATTTTGACATTAAATTTAATCTAAAGGTGAAATGTATTCCCCAGAGGTAAGACACGACACTCAGCGCCGGCGAAACAATACGACTTTACAACTTTGTAAACTCTACACAATTGGATTGAAAACAACAAAAGAAGAAGAAAAAAAAACCAACAATATTATAAGATAAATATGGCCTTGCTAAACTTCTTAAGTAAACAGCTGTCGCTGCTGCTGCTGCTGATTACTAGCTGCTTCTGCTTCTGCTGCGGATACTTTTTCATTAGAAATTACAATCCAACTTCAGAGAAAACCATTCACCTTAGAATTGAGCCACACGCATACACCCACACACACACAAGGACCACGAAAAGAATTCATCTTCGACTTGGCGGCTCCGTGGTGGCGTTTGGTCATGTTACGCTTAATTAATTATGATTCTGTACAGTTTTTTAACCTCATTTCAAATCGTCTTTGTTTACCCCCCCCCCAATAAAAAGCATCTGATGGTATAACTTCATGGCCAAGCGAGCTAGCAACACACCCACTAACGTACACCACTATATACACGCTCTCTACACAAAGTTCAATGAAAAGTGCTGCCATTATTGTTGTTGACTCTAGTGTCTGATGGATGTAGAGGCAGGCTACTTGAATTCAATAACGCCTAAGTGGAGACGAAAAAATAAAAAAATATATATTGCTTCGAATTCGCCTGCAACAATTGTTGCCACAGCAATGTTGATAAAGTTGAAGGTGTACAGGAAATAAAGTTTCAAACACATGCCAGCCAGCCCGTCAGGACGTAATTGAAAATAAGTTTCGACGCGTATTTTTGTTTTGTTGTTTGTGTTGCTTAGTTAAACAAAAGAAAATTAAAAAAGCTGGCGGTTTATCGGGGAGATTAATTTCGAAAGAGCTTGAGTCGGGTAGGTGGCGAAATTGTTTATATCTTTAATGTAAATTAAGTTATATTATCGTTGATCAAATTTCAAACATTTCCTGCAAATTTCAAATTTACAATGAAATTGCTAAATAAAAAATATTTAAAATTTACGTTGAAAAAGTTTGAAAACACTACATTTAAACCTAGAATAAAATATTCAAAAATGAAGCGGGGTTAAGGCTGTGTACATATGAAAGGTCTTGATGCAAAAAGAATTTCATACTTAGGAATTTTTCGAAATTTTCGGAAGAAATATCGCCCAATTTTAGGGAAATTACAGATGAAAGGGTCCACAGTACAGAATGTCCACAGCACAAATGAAAGGTCTCGAGGAGTACTTTTCAAATATATGGACCTTATATGCAAAAAAAAAATTTCAGACTTAGGAATTTTTCCGAAGAATAATCGCTCAATTTTAGGGAAATTACAGATGAAAGAGTCCACAGAACAGAAACTAAGAATGAGAGCCGGAAGCTTATTTCGGATCTTATGATGATTATTCAAAATCTTGAACCCTATGTGGGGGAGATACCAGAAGAAATGGTGTGATTTTTACCATCTTTATAACATATCTTGTGTGGATGGAAATATTGAGATGTGCCAAATCTAAATGAATCGGATATTATTTTTTCTCTTTTTATGAGCTTCATGATTATTCCAAACTTTTACCCTTTGTGGCGGACGTACCAAAAGGAATGGCCCGATCTCTATCCTCTTTATAACAGATGATAGAAATATTGAGATGTGCCAAGTCTGAATGGAATCTGATGTTAATTTCGCCATTTACGAACTTCATGGGCATTGATGATACTTGATGGAGTGGACCAATATTGTCCATTTTCGCACCTGGCCTAGCACTGAATTAAATATTGGGATTTGCAAAGTTGGAGCCAAATCGGATTATCCTTTTTCTGTGCAGTAAAATATTTTTTGAAAGTTTCGACTTCTGTGGGTAAGGTACCAGACCCACTTCTGTGGTAAGGTGGACCTATATTGTCCTTCTCCGAACTTGATCTAAGTTTGTTTATGATACTGGGATGTACCAAGTTTGGATCATATCGGATACTCCCTTCGAGAAACGGATTTGGTCCAAAGAGACCTCGGGCCTAAAACCATTATTTCGATGAGCCACGTTGTGGCCGTAGCAAATGATATATATCCTTTGCAGCCATATGGCTGAAGCTGTAAAAATATTCCTAAATAAATCCAAGTCTTAGCTGGTCTATGTATATACTTATATAAAGCCACGCCTTGGCTGGTCCCTGAAGAAATATTCTTCAATAAAACCCGGCCTTGTCTTGCCTTTAACAAATTATTCCCAATGTTTCCTAATTATAACCCATTATCATCCATTCATTATATCATTGTTATAATAACGAAATTTCAACACTAATAAACAGGCAATGGATTTCAATTTAACAAATCAGTTTTCAAAAGCGGAACTACTTGGAACTACTTTCCGCATTGTTGTCTTAACGAATACATATTTGTGATTTACCATTGTTTTGCGATGCACAAAGTTTGAAACAGTGCAATTAGTTCACACTCATTTGATCGCAATTTGAATAAAATAATTGAAGCGATAAATGGTGCTGATGAGGATGATTTCGAACAATGTGAGCGCTCTTGTGCGGGCCACATAAACCCACAATGAATGAATGAACGATTGTTTGAATGGGAAAATAAATGAATAAAATGAAAATTCATTTTCCAAAAGTTTAAACCCGCCTTCAACCTCCTCTCACCTCTCTCCGCACACACCCAACCAAACAAAATAAAGAATTTTAATTGAAATGGGAGATTTAATTGTGATGAGATTTCATTGTTTAAATGAGAATTCAGCAAAATTTATGGCAAATGAATTGTTGTTTGTTCAATTTGTGCAAAACAAATTCCCTCGACTACAAATGGCCACTGCAGTGCGATGAGAAAGAGAGGGAGCATTTGCAGGATTAAAGGTTTAAATGAAATTTTGAAAAAAAAAAAAAAAAAAAAAAAATGGAAAGTGGATTTCAATGTGTGTTTGGAAAAAATAATGTAGTTTTTTAAATCTATTTCTTTTTGTGGTTTTTAATTGGCAAATTTATTTTAATACTCACCTCAAAACTCACAATTCCCGTATGGTCCTGGTCAAGTGTATTGAATACATAATGGGCATATAATGTTGGATTTGCTATTGATTTCAACCAGATCAAATACAGATTCAGCGGGAGGGTTTATGGCACAAAAAAGGATGAAACAGAAAATATAAAATTAAATAATGGCATTTTGAGAAATAGAATTCTGACAAACACACATAGACAGACACATAGAAAATAGGTTATATCAATTGTATTACATAGGTTATTATATTTTTAGTATCGGATACAGTCAAATATTGCTATAATGACATTTTTTGGTTAAAAAATAATATTTTATAAATAAATTGTATAACAGTATTTGACTGTATGTTATTGTGTATATTTATCAGCTGGTTATAAACGAACACACACGCATACATCGAAAAACATCACATATTATTGTTAATATGTTATTAAACATATCATTTATTTATTAACACAAAACTAATATCGCCAAAAGCTAGAAGCTGCTGCGTTTCTGGAGTCCTTTGGGGAACGTTAGGCTAGGAATGTTGAAGCTGTTTGATGATATAGCATGATATTGTGAAGTTAAGCATATGATCCTTTTAGAACACTTATAGTATAACAGTTATTTAATATTTTCGGTAGTTCTTCATTGCTTCAATAACTTAGAAAATAACGTTACATTCTTTGTCATTTGTCTAATAAATAATTTAGTCGTCACAGCCGACCATTTAGTACCCAACACCACCTTCTTATTTTTATAACCTCCACTTTGAAAAGGAGGGTTTATTAACTTTGACATTATATTTTTAATATCCCTAAATATTCGTCGTAGACCCTATGTATATGTATACTTTATATTCATGATCAGGGTAAAATTCTACGTCGATTTAGCAATGTTCGTCTGTCTGTTGAAATCACGATATTTTATGTAGAGCTTCAAAATTTGCCAGAACAATTTGTATTGTGTCTAGGATGGTATTAAAAATGAGATACATGGGTCTTCTTTTTTGGTATAGCCGCCATATAGCGAAACCTCCCGATATTCAATATTTTGATGATTTTCGCAACATTTTGTCACGGATTTACCTATATAATTTGATATTTGTAGTTCACAATGGGTTCTAGTTACTGTGGTGGAAATAGTATACATAGGTCCACGTTTTGCCGGCAGTATATACCCTGAGCCAATGTTCGACTATCTAAATATATTTGATTTCTCTTATGATTATTCAAATTGTTAACCCTCTATGGAGTAGGTTCCAAAGGAATAGGCCAATTTGTCCATTTCGTATCGGACCTAAATTAATATGATATAAATATTGGGACGTGCCAGGTTTTGACTATTTTCTTCCTTCACTTCACATGAGATATTTGATAATTTTTAGAAAATGCTAAAATGTGTGTGGGTTACCATATACAGGGTGAGATGAAAAAAACTGCAACAAAATCAAACGCCATAATTTTTACATTTTTTTTTAAATTTTATTGAATGAAAGCAAAATATGTGCCGGCCATGGTGATGGTGTGGGCCGCCATAACAGCCGATGATCGCTCTACGTTCATATTAATCGTCCGTGGCATCAGAATAAATGCCGAATATTATCGCGAAAATATTCTGGAGGGTGTATTAAAGCCTTGGGCACGCAAATTTTTAGGCCGCATACCTTGGACATTCCAACAGGACTCAGCACCATCGCACTCAGCACCCCACCCAAGAATGGTTACAAAATGAGGTTCCTCGCTTCATTTCAGGCGCACAATGGCCACCAAAATCTCCGGATACCAATCCGTTGGACTATTGTGTCTAAAGTATTTTGGAAAGTAAGGTTGGCACTAAAAATACTAAAATGTCGATCACCTCAAGCAAGCGCTTAGCCGGGAATGGGTCAAAATACCGCAGAGCACCGTGTGACGGTTTCATTTGCCGTTTGAAGGGCATAACTCGAGCCAAAGGTGACCAATTCGAACAAATCTACACCTATTCTAAAATTTGGTGCTATTTCCAAAATTTTTGCTTTCGTTCAATAAATTAAAAAAAAAATACCAAAGTGTCGATCACCTCAAGCAAACACTTCGCCGGTAATAAGCCAAAATACCGCAGAGCAACATTTGGGCAGCGTGTGACGGTTTCATTTGCCGTTTGAAGGGCATAATTCGTGACCAATTCGAACAAATCTAAACTTATTCTAAAATTTGATACTATTTCCGACATATTTTGCTTTCATTTAAAAGAAAAAAAATTTGAAAAAAAATGAAAAAATTATGGCATTTAACTTTGTTGAAGTTTTTTATCTCACCCTGTATACCCTTTCTAGCCATATAACTGAGTATATAAAAACTTCTTTACTTAAGAAAAATTCAGAGCTCTTTCCGAATTTGCTGAAAAAATTTCCATAATTTAAAAACCTAAAAAGAGTTTCAGATTGTTACTCCAAACTTGTTTAAGGCTTTTATATAGCCTTAACCGTGTATAAAGGGATCGCAATAGTTTGAGATATATTTCAGAACATTTACAATAGGGCTTTGAAAATTGAATGAGAGTTTTGAGTTTCTTATGATATTTGCTTTAACTGTTGCCCATGTCGGCCCAGTACCCGAATAAGAGTAAAGCCCGATTTTAAATATTTTTGACATTTCATTTAATTTTGCCTAATTTTGGTAGTTTGAGTTATTATGTTAAAACCCTATTAGCAAAAATGTATTAATATTGATCCGCGTTTTGTGTACAGCCCTTATAAATACCCCCTGATTTTAGTTATTGCGAGCGTTTTCGTCGTATTTTTAAGTAAATGTAATTGGAAATGTGTATTCCGGTTTCTGCGGAGGTAGAAAATCGTTCCTTTCGTCTGAAGGTTTTCAAACCCCGATCTAATCCATTCCCCATTGAAAAGATACAGATTATATTCTAGTAAAAGGTTTTTGGACACACCCAAGCAAAAGATGCAAAATAAGAAGGTTTTCGAACCCCGACCTAACCCATTATCCATTGAAAAAATACAGATAATATTCGAGTAAAAGGATTTTGGACACACCCAAGCTAAAGAATTCTAAACTGAGAGTCGACCTTGTCGCTATCCTATTCTTATGAACGACATAGATACGAGTTCCATACTATTTTCTTCATTTAATTAGTTATTGTCATGTAATATAAAGACCCAAATCTGAATATAGCACATATGTCGGTTTGCCTACATCTATCTCTTTTACGCCTCTAGATTGACAATTTTCGACAATTTCTTAGCTTTTATTCTCACAATCTATTATCCCTTTTCAAGATGAAATTAAATGATTAATAATCCTCTAGAAAATTATAAAAAATGACATAAATTTTTCATGTTTGAAATTAATATTAGTGTTAATTAAAGGCCTATTTTACAGAAAACTATCAGTTTGGTACCCTAATTCATGATGGTCAAAGTCGGGCCTGTATTATATAATTTTAACCACTGTATGAGTTGCACATTCCATGATTCTATAGTAGTGTCAAAACAGCTATAGAAAAATTAACTATATTATAGACAAATTTGAATAGGGTAAGTGTACCAGTAGTCGGCACTTTTAGGATTTTCGCATTTTTAATCGCTCACCATTCTGAGTGGAACTTCTCAATTATTACAAATTTAATTTATTCAGATTTGAAATTTTGTACAGGTTTTGCAATAATAAATAAAGTTTTAATAACTTTTTATTAAATTTCATAAATTTGTAGTTTTATTTAAACAATGCTTTTTTGCCAGTAGTCCGCACCACTTGCCAATTGGCGGCATGGCATGTTCCAACAGTCGGCATACCAATTTTTTTGGAAGAATAATTAATAATAATAATGAATTAATTCAATAAAATATAATATTTTTGTTTAGTTAAACTGATTCGACGTCTTTATTGTACTTTTCTTAAGAATATGGATTGTTGAGGACCTTCACAGACAATAATTTAATTTTTATTAAAATAAATCATCTTTTCTTAGCGATATTGTACACAAAGACAGCTGACAATATATTTGATGTAAACAAAATACATTTAGTTATAATAGTTACATTTATTTGGGCTTAAAAATAAAAAGTGCCGACTACTGGGACGTGCCGAACTTAGGCACACTTACCCTATATCAAAATCTTCTTAAGTCAAATTTTCTTACTTTTGTTGGGAAGGCATTTCCTATCAAACTCAAGGTGTGTGCGTATCACAAACTTTTCAACAGAAATCTTTTCACTTTTATATGGTGGTGGTGTTGGGCATAATTAAATATCATCGTTTCATAGATCACATAACTTATATAAATTAAATTAATTTTATTACATAAAACTTAACCTAGTTTCTGGGCAAAAATGAAAATATAAATACAATATATACACTATATATATTTATATCTTATTCTATTCTATTTCATTTTCTTCGTTCTTTATTTCTTTCTTGCTTATTTTACAGGTAATAAAAATGTCATCATAATCAAATGAATATAAGTACCCTTATTACAATGAATACGAAAGCAGTCACTTCACTTCTTGGGTATGTAACAAACTTGTTTTCATTTTTCACATACAAATATACACATACACACTCACATGTAGGTATAGTTATACAATTTGTATATATATACACATACACATATATATTACCCATAGAATGTCTTAACTAGGTACACTTATGGTAGGTCTTTGTGTACATAATAATGATATATAAACTTACAAGTGTATACACATACATCCATATATATGGGCGACAAACACTTGATGTTATGAGAAAAAAAAAAAAAAAAAAACAAAATCATGACTTGGGTTATACATTTTCTTACACTCGAATAAAAATTATTTTTCTTCTTAAACCTACGACGAATGGACATATGAATGGGACAACTTATGTGTCTCGGTCTGTTGAAATGAGGTCCAGTTTTAAAAACCCAATGAAACTGCGACCCCATTTATTGAAACTTTTATGACCCTAGACAAATTATCTGTAACTAAAGGTTTTTTTTAAGTTTTTTTGGAGGTCCCCAAAATTAAATTATGTTTATTAAGTATATTATTAAATGTTTAAAAACTTTATTTAAATACCATCCACTATATATGGGACCAGGAAAATATTT